TTGCAATGAAGAAAAATAGAAATACAGTTGGTTTGTTTGTTATGAATTTCGCCCAAAGTTAGACGAGCTATCTGCGCTAGCCGTCCCTAATTTAGCAGTGTAAGACTAGGGAGAAGGCAGTTAGTCATCACCACCCACCGCCAATTCTTGGGCTACTCTTTTACCAACGATTAGTGAGATAGATCGTCACATTATAATGCCCTAACGGCTAAAAGGGGCGAGCATTTTTGGTGTGACGGGGATTCGAACCCGCGACCCTCAGATTGCGAGTCAAGCACCCTAACCACCTGGCTATGCCGGGCCTAGAAATATAGAATAATGGATAAAGGATTCCATAAATAAGGGTACATGTAATAAAAAATCTTGTTCAGATTATTAAAAAACAATTTATTCAGTATGAGGAATTATATTTACATAACAAAAACGTTAACAAGACGACGAATGTTACAGCGCGTAATTAAAAATATTTAAAACAAAAATCAGATGAGAAGAAAATAATATTCACCAAATAAGCATACTTTTTGTCTACGGTATTGTAATAACAACTTATCTATTTTCAAGTACATTTAACCTCGTGTTAAAGCTCATTAATCGTTGAAAATAACATCCATTCACACTGAGAAGAAAATAATATTCACCAAATAAGCATACTTTTTGTCTACGGTATTGTAATAACAACTTATCTATTTTCAAGTACATTTAACCTCGTGTTAAAGCTCATTAATCGTTGAAAATAACATCCATTCACACTACCTACATAAGTTATTTTATGTTATGAACTTTTAGCGTCTATACGTCAGTATTCTCAAGTCCCATAAAGAGGACACAAAACATATAAATATTTGATAATTACTCTTACAGAAACAAATACTTTAAGAACTGTTTGACACGACATTTTCTATATTAAGGTAAGTTTGGTTTTGATCATAAAATGATATGAAAAGTCTGTTGTTTAGGGTTTTGTTAGAAACTTGTAAATGCGATACAATTACATGGCACTTTTTGTATGTCTGTTGAGTTAAAATGAACAAAAAATAATAATAACTTGAAATTGTATAGCAAATATATTTCAAAGTTTGGACTCTCACAATCACTCATGAACGAAAGGCACCTTTATCACCAAACGAAAGAAACCTCAAGAACCGTTGTAAAGGCAAACTGGACAACGGTTCTTGAGGTTTCTTTCGTTTGGTGATAAAGGTGCCTTTCGTTCATGAGTGATTGTGTAAAGGCAACGTGCATACAGGCAAACTGGAGCCCGTACCAATTTCATGTGACTATTTTTTTCGTCCGAAACGTTACTCATACAGAGCCGTTTCTGATGTTTCACTTGGATTAGACAGAGTAGGACTGGAAGTCTGGACTTGCAGAAGAAGAGGCACTGAAGCTGGATGCTGTAGGATTAAAAACATCACAATCATATGGCAGTGAATGAACAAGGTTTGATATACAAAAAACTTTACACTTCAAGTAATAGCTTCTCCACTCGTAAAATTTCAAACGTTTGATTTGTTGATTTTGAGTATAACAGCCTGTAAGAGAACACTCAATACAAGTACTCAATATCCTAATCTTTTTATTATCGAGAACTGTGGTTTAAATTACAGCAAGAGGCTTTAGAAGTTCTTTGTTAGACGTAATATCAGTGTGCTATATCGAACAGTACAAAATAAATATCAAAATTTTTAACTATATAGATTACTGTACTACAAAAATATATAATTTAAATAATACTAAGGCTGATGGTGTGAATATTAACTTAAGATATAGATTATGGTCCTACAAAAATATGTAATTTAAATAATACTAAGGCTGATGGTGTGAATGTTAATTTATGATATAGATTATGGTCCTACAAAAATATTTAATTTAAATAATACTAAGGCTGATGGTGTGGATATTAACTTAAGATATAGATTATGGTCCTACAAAAATATGTAATTTAAATAATACTAAGGCTGATGGTGTGGATATTAACTTAAGATATAGATTATGGTCCTACAAAAATATTTAATTTAAATAATACTAAGGCTGATGGTGTGGATATTAACTTAAGATATAGATTATGGTCCTACAAAAATATGTAATTTAAATAATACTAAGGCTGATGGTGTGGATATTAATTTAAGATATAGATTATGGTCCTACAAAAATATGTAATTTAAATAATACTAAGGCTGATGGTGTGAATGTTAACTTAATGATATAGATTATGGTCCTACAGAAATATATAATTTAAATAATACTAAGGCTGATGGTGTGAATGAAGACGTCCAACTACAGCATAGCACGCGCGAAACTAAAACTACAATTAAAACTGTCTTGATGGAATGATTTTCGCTTCATAAACTGACAATACAGTTACAGGCTTGTACTATAGAAATTTTACCAATGTCATTACGATTCTGCAGTCCAGACGTTTATAGAGTAGCCTGTACGTGGCACAAAGGCTGCATTAAAGACACGTCGTTATGTTTGTAAGCGCCGAGCGACAAGGCTTGGTAATCTATAAAAAATAAAAAAAGAGCAATCAGACAGATTGCATACCCTCGCTCCGCCGCTCCTTTTCGATATTACATGCGTTATATTGGATAACGTCAAATTTCACCTTCGAAACCACAGGAAATCATTCTCAGATCCAGATGATCAACAATCTGGCTCATTTTTTCTAGTGTAATGAGGAGTCTCAACCTTAATGTGCCCATAAAATTTGGTACTAATCCGAGCACACTTTATAGAGTTATTAACCCAAACATGCCCTATCTCCTCATTATATATATAAAAAAAAACTTCAAAGTGATCTAGAATGCGGATCCGGACCCGGGCCAATTTTGGGGAGAAATGTCCCATGCTTACTTCCCATGTTGTGTAAAATGCTCGTGTACATAGGCCTATTAGTTTTCGAGGTAAGCGTAGAAACACAGACAGACATATACACACACACACGGAACCCGATTGCTATTTTATTTGGATCTTTTTTCTGAGGTTTGAAACTTAATAAATATCGTCAATTTTAGCAGGCGCTTCACTCATTAAAAAAAATTATTTCTGGTTATATTTCAGTAAGTTTGATTTGGTTTGTTTTGGATGCCGTCCCTAATTGAGCAGTGATAAACTAGAGGGAAGGCAGTTAGTCAACACCACCAACCGCCAAATCTTCGGCTACTCTTTTACCAGCGAATAGCGAGATTGAGCGTCACATTATAACGTCCTCACGGCTGAAAGGGGAGCATGTTCGGTGT